TCAGCAGGAGCAACTGAGTACTTCAATTATGCCTGTGGCACATCAGGACTGTCATCAGCTCTTCTCATGAACGTATTAGGCTTGAAAGAAAGCAAAATACTTTTGTGCCCAATGTCCTGTGTAGATCCTTCAAGGATAAAGATCCCAAGTCCCTAACATGTGGCTCTCAAAACCCAAATCTCTCCTCCTCCCTAACCTCCATGGCACCACGAAGAATTTGGCTAATGGAATGGTAACTCAGACAATCACACACCTATGGTCAAATCAAAATGTTATGGCTGAATGTAAATATGACTGGACTAAGGACAAGAGGAAAACTCAGTAAGGCCTTTCATCTCTCAGGTTTCAGGGTGGTCAAACAGTTCAGGGCACTTTCCAATGAACCCGATGTCCAGGGTTCTAGTCCTGATTTTGTCACTGCCTGTATGCAGTTGGTCATCTCTAGATTCATCAATTCCTCCCCTGCATTGTGTATACTTAGCTCTAATGACCATCTCTCTCCTATTAGATGCTTCTGCTGTGTACCAAACCTCGGCTTGGGCATTAAGATGTGACTGTTAATACAAATATTAACAACCAAATTGACTTTCAGGAAAATCAAGCATCAACACATCAGAAAATGCAGAGCTTACAGCAACTGCAAAAATCTAATTCTGCTCCTCATGGAATTATTCTTTGCTGCAAGTGAGAAAGTGAACTGTGAAAACAGTACAAAACAAGTAATTCAAGACTGAGTCATAAAGCTTCTGTAAGAGAGCAGAATGTGCCATCAGCTGTAAATCTAGCATTTTCCTATTTTCAAGAACTGCACTTTCCAACCTAAACACTGTCCTTTTAAAATGAGGCTCATTTTCATCTTGCTTTCTTAAGAGTTTTTAAAGACTACAGATAATCTCACCATTTTTCAAATGACTGGAACTATAACTTGAGCTTTACGTGTGTAACTATACCAAATCTCCTGTCCTACATTAAGGATTGAACTCTAAACTTTTGGCTTTGACACCACCATTATTTATCCTGTAAGATTTCTCCATTTGTGCATCACAGCATGAATCTAGAGAGCAAAAGATGGAGTCTCAGTAGTGGTTGCTGGGGAATAAGGTGAGATAACAGAAGCAAATTCGATTTCAGTCCTCTAGAGCAGCTCAGCTGCCTACACAGTGACCCTCTCTACCAACATTAAAAAGGACACAGCTCCAAACAATTCAGTGGGATGATGCCACACTGGCATCAGCCACCTCTAAATATTAATCTACTGATTACTACTGGGGTGCATGCCCAACATTCTCCTGAGCAAATTAAGTGAAAAATCGATTCAGTACTTTAGTGGAATAAGCTGAATAGAATCTCATGGGTCAAATAAAAGACACTTGAGAGCATGAAGGTGTTCCTAATGTAGACATCAGACAAATGGAAACAGATAGCAGAGAACCTAAGAGATATTTGCATGAACTGTCCAGAACAGAAAGAGATTTTAGGTCCTCTCAGCTTTCTCCATCAACAGTAACAAAACAACAGCAACCTAGGGGAAAAGCAGCAGGGCAAGTGCTAACTAGACACAGGCATTGCTCAGCCAGCCCATTTTTTTCCATCTTTAATTAGTAAAAAAGAAGACATAAAACAACTGGTTATCAGACTTGTATTATATACAGTAGAAGCAGCTGCTTAGCCTGTAGTTGCAGAGGACCCACAGCATTTTTTCAGTGCAACCATTACCTTGAAGAACCACTAAGCCGTGATTCAAAATACTTCCATATGCCCTTACAAATTCATCAACAATTCTCTGGTACAACATTCTCTGTAATACATAAGGACACACACCCATTTAAATGGAAATTGCTACCTGTCCCCTTGTTGGCAGATCTTTAACACTGTCAGGTTTAAAGAAGGTGAAGTCAATCAGAGCCTGAAACAAGGACACTGCTTTCTCAGAATGGCCAGCCTGTCTCAGGAAGTGGCACTGCTGAATAAATATAGCTGTAAAGAAGAGAAAATGTTAGTACTTCAAATAAATTTTGGTGCAAAATAGCTTATTACAGCCCACAAATACACAAAATCCATGCACGAAGTGCTGTAGAGCATTGGAACAGTATCAAAATCCAAAACACGGAGTAAGCAGCATAAACAGTTGAAATTTTCAGTTTAATTAGCTTTAAGACCACCCACTTTACATGTGAGATGACTGGTTACTCATGCCCTACATACACTGTCCTTGTTGATGCAAAAGATAGACACGATGGCCCCAACTTAAGTGCATCCAATATCTGTCAGTGGGTCACAGCCCTCTTAGAAGATTCTGGGCATTACCACAATGCACATGGTAAGTGATAGCAACAAAAATCCTTCTTGTTTTGCATGACATAGTTACCCTGGTAATATACCATTTTCACTCCAATTGTCACTCCTATTTTCTTTTCCTTTACATAAGAACTGAGTTAAGAGACGTCCAGTCTTCTGGACAAAGAATTACTGCTTAAAAGTAGAGAAGAGTCCTATCCCCTGCTCTTCAACAAATTATTTGTGTAGTCACTGCCATATCCATACTGCTCCGAGCCTCTGACTCAGCTTAAGAAAGGAAGCAAAGCCCCAGTTTTTCTATTCAAATATTTGCAAAGAGAGTCTAAAATGAAAGAGCTGGAGAAGTAACAGCTATTACAAACACCTCTACTACTAGGCAGTTGAAGGACATTTCAGAGTTGCTCCATCACTCCAGATTACACTCCAGTCTTAAAAAAATAGAGGCTGTTACAAAACCAAATTGCCTTAAATCATAATCTTAACTGGCCTGCAAAACAAAAATCCAAACCCATAAATTAGGACTTAAATAATTTATTGACACTTTTGAAACAAGTATTTTAAAAACTATTGTTTCTTCACTAAACACATTTGGCTTCAGAGGGTTTTAAACAATCAAAATGTTTAGGTGTCTAAATAACACAGGCTAATGGCACAGGTTAGGATCAACTACCTCTAATGATCATCATCTTCTTCTAAAATAAGAAGTGGAAAATAATTTACTCCTTTTACCTGCGTTCAGGTGCACATAAAAACTTGAATTTAGCTAGAATATACAAACTAGGCATTTAATCCAATTTTTATGCAAAGTAAATGATTGTTTATGATGACAAAGACTGAGTTTTCTGAAGATACATGAACAACAAAAACAATGCTTAAGTGTATAACAAAATCCTCCAAGGTACTGTAACCATTTAGGCACTGTGTCCTGCTGACACTGAAAAAGTTGTCCTTTTCTAGTCTCTCAACTTCAAAAAGATAAACTTTGATTAAAATAGTCTGAATTTAGAGAATATCTCATCAGGATTTGCTGCCAAACTGAAGCCAAAAATAAGTTATAGCATAAGAGTTTCTGCATGATAAAAAAGAGATATTTGAAGAAATTATTCAATCAGCATTTTCTTTGTGGTAAAAACTCAAATGAGCATGAATACATACTTAATTTAGTCTATACTGCTAAGACACTCTGCAGCTGAACTGACCTAAAAGATAAGGATATTTCTCCCCATCAGGTAGGTATGGTTTGAAAAACATGAATCCCTTTACACAGCAAGAGTTGAGAGGGCTTTACCTTCACCTACTTTATATTAATAGTTCCTAGAAAATTTTAAAGTATTATAAATTTATATCTCAGAATCTGTGTAGAAACCGAATCTATCACTTTAAATTCGGTTTTGCCTTTCTCGAATTTCATGTTTTAAGAACCCACCCACCTATTTCCAGCAGCTAGTACTGCACACCGCACTGAACACTAGATGGCACAGTCCACCACTATTTACCATGAGCTGCTACACGTCGTCCTCAGCAAAGGTCAAAGGTTGAAGATGCATCCACACTGCTACCACCTCTTAATTACTTTGTGAAACAATCTGTCTATTTATCTTAACGGACAATTGGGTAATCTTCCTAATAAGTACACTGCCAGTTAAAAACTCAGCCCAAGAATTATACAGTTGAGTCACTAATAAAGAAAGACATCTCAAACCAAGAAGTCTCCCACTGGAAATCTCTCTACTCCTAGCATTTGAATTCCAAAGGGGAAAGAAAATCTTTGACAGTGTCCATAAACAAATCACTCTAGTCTTAATACAGAACAGTAAGATGTTATTTGTGTTTCTGTTCCACTCTTAAAACTGAATTCATTTTCCTTTTAACCTCTCTATGGACAGTGCCAGAAAAACAGTATTTTGCAAAACATTTAACCAGTTTTAGTTAAAGCAACTCTATTAAAAGACAAGTTACTCATAGCAGTTGACAAATAGTATTTAATGAGTCAAATATCTTCAAATGTGTGCAGGGAAGCAAAAACAGATTCTGAATAAAACATATGTCCTGAAAATCATTCATTGTGATTAGTGTACAAAGTGACTGAAGTGCTGGAAATCAGAGACAGCAGAAGCAATTATAAGCTATCAGGCTGTACAATATCCACCTGCCAGCACAGGATTTTTCCTTTGCAGCACTTTTTCCAGTACTTGATCCAAGATGAATCAGCTGAAGACTGTACAGGATCTGAACACCTGAAACTGATTTGCAAACCCATATCTCAATCTGTAAGTCCAGACTGGATACTGCAAACCAGACAGCATCACTGCTCAAACAGCTGTTACAGGACTCAGATGAAAACAATGTCTCTTGGACTATGCCATCTGTGAGCAAAGGTGGACTCCTTCATAACAGTCACTTTAAGATTAAAAATAAATTTAAAAGGAAAAAAAACAAGGACAAAATAATCATGGTAACACTAGTATTTCCCCCTTCTTGGCACATTGGCAGATTAACAATCACAATGACACTCCAAGGTAGAGAAACAAAACTGAAATGGGATAGGTTGTCGCTTAGCACCAAATAAATTTAAAGATCATGTCAGAGATGAGCATGAAGTCGTTCTTCCCTGGATCCAGTCCAGCATCCTAACCATCTGACTAAACTGTTCCAGGGATAATTACGTAATAAAGTGGTAGATATATGCATAGAACAAATACAAAAGGCATGAGCACAGTTTAGACTTCTCCATCTACAAACTGTGATGCTCAAGGTAATTTCACATCAGACTTCCCATGTCCCTTCTCTTTTCTGGATTAAAGTAATTAGCTGTGAAACTTCTGAACAAGAGGTAATTGTTTTTCTCACAAGCCAACCTTTAAACAGCACATCTCTTGGCTTCGACTCTCCAGTCCTGACAAGGTACTATAAACCACTTGGCACATTAAGCTTTACTGGATGTTGTACTGCAAACTCTCCTGAGGAAGAAATAGATCTGCTATATCCATATTTGGTTGGAATGTCTGCTTTAATTCTCAGCTAAGAAATCAGTATGGCAGGCATTTTGAAGAGAAGAAAAGCTGCATGTAATACATAGGAAAGTCTATTCTTAATGCAGTTAGCTCCTAGGAAGACCAATCTGACCACAATATGGAACAGAGAGAACCTTACCCAGCATAGCTTCTTCTGTGCCAGGCAGCAGAGGGTGAGATACCATGCTGCCATCCTGTACCGCTGCCAATGTTGTCAAACATTTTCCATAGAGACTATTGATTTTTGAAACAGAAAAGGTGGTGAACTGACTTTGACAGAACAGAAGGTATTTCTTCCACATCTCTGGATTATTGGGATGTAAGAAAATTAGCTTCTGCCATTCTTTGATCACAGCTGGTGGTTCCCAGAACTCTGTGCACAGCTTCAGCCTGGCAAGTTTCAGATCAACATTACTTGGATTACTTTCAATTGCCCTCTCTAAAATAGCCAGTTTCTTTTCCAAGATTAACTTCAGTGATTTTCTTCTTACTTCCTGCTCTCCTTTACTGGCATAAAGGCTAGGTCCTCTCATTAATTCATCCTTAAAACAAAAAGAAACATCATTACAACATAGGAAGAATCACCACTAGAATCACAAGAATGCTGACACTTGTGAAGATGAATTAACAGCTCATTCTTCACCAACAGAAGATACACAGTCCTGAACAAATCAAACTACAATATAATGGTAATGTATTTACTACTTACAATAAGCAACAAGGTCTGTTAGAATACATACCTGAAAAGAAATAAATTCCATCCAAGCATTAATATCTCTCGGGTTTTCTCTGACTTTCTTGTTATGTTCTTCCACCTTTGCCATTAAAATGGAGTTCATGTTTATCCCAGGCTCTTGAGTTGTTTGCTGCGTAGTTACAGACTCATTGTCTGCACTCTTGCAACCTTTTCCTTGTAGCCACACTGTAGTTGATGCATCATAAATCCCAAGAGGATTTACCTCTGTTGTGTCAGAAGGATCACCAGTTTCCGTTTGGCAAACTGGTATAAAAGTAGCTAGGTCAGATGGAGAGCTTCTCTTGCAAACAGGAATGCTATCTATGTTCAGCATCTTCACATTGTCCTTTGTGAAGTAGCGCTCAGATTGCCTCTGTACTTGCTTCCTTTTTGATGTAGAACTGCCCCAACTTATACACTGTTTCTTTGCATCTATGCCAAGACAGGATTCTCCTTTCCTTTTATACCTTATAAGGGAAAATACAATTGAACATCTCCTAAAACACACATCAGAAAAGATGCCTTCTTTTTGAAAGAAAGCATGGAAGAAACACTTTCATTCAAATTGACCCAAATAACATATGCATAGACCTTCAAAAGTTTAAGAACCTGGTAACTTTCATCTTATTTAGCATTTCAATTTGAAAATTTTTTCGGTGTCATCACACTTTTAATATCAAACTAATCTTCCTAACACTATCTGTCATACTCAAGCAGAAGAAAAAGCTTTTCTCTTCATATCATTTTAAGCCATATAGGCAAACCAGGAGAAAGAGCAACAGACAACATTATTTAGGGCTACTTAGATTAGATTATTTTAAACTGAAAGTCAGACATCAGTAGTTCAGTCCAGTAATTTCCTCCTGTATTCTTAAACCTCTGTTCATTTTATATGCCCAGAATTGGGCAGGAGGGTGGAGAGACAAGAGAGACCAGGTTCATAAAGGCCACAATAATCCTATGGATTGAGAATGGAAAATACCATTTTAGAATATTACCAGAAATGTCATTTCAGTGGCAGATACAGTGATGTGCAACGCTAAAATACTACTTTCCATCTCAGAAAACAGCTGACAATCCAAAGGTGGCAGAAAATTGAAATGAATTGTAACCAGGCAATTTTTATTACAAAGGCATACAGCACTACAAAAATACAACCCATAAATTCTCCCTCCTCCACAAATAATTACTTTTTATATGCAGTAAACAATATTCCTTGAGAACATCAAGAAGTAAGTGTACATACATAATGCACAAGCCAAATACAGGCTCCTTTAGATGGACTTGTGTGTTAATGCAGGGAGATGTTCTGAGTGATCATAGTACCAGTAACACACTAAGGACGTTGAATACCCAATTTCACCTATGCTAATTTGAAATGTAGCATTTACTAAGAGAGGCAAGTAAACTTCTTGACAAATCTAGTATGAAATAACCAGCACCTTCATTTCCCTTTCAGACACAGAAACAGAACAATAGAGATCAAAATGGGTACTTGCCCAAAGATGATCTCTAACAGAACCTGGGATTTCTGACCTCAAAACCATGTCTTTAACCTGCTCCATGCTGCCTTCTCCAGATGGCAGTTCCACAAAGTCACATGCCTGCGATTTGCTACACAATGTTTTTTAGAAACAATAAAAATAATGCACTTTATACCAATTATTTCATGCCATCTTTTGCCTTTTAAAGTATTTATCAAAGAATCATAGAATGGTTTGGGTTGGAAGGGACCTTAAGGAACATCTTGCTCCAGCCCCATGGGCAGGGACACCTTTCACTAGACCAGGTTGCTCAAAGGCCCATCCAGCCTGGCCCTGAACACTTCCAGGGATGGGGCACCCACAATTTCTCTGGGCAACAAGATCCAGTGTCTCACCACCCTCACAGTTAAGAATTTTTCCTAATATCCAATCAAAACCTACTCTCATTCAGTTCAGACCCATTCCCCCATGTCTTCTCTCTACACGCCCTTGCAAAAAAACTACGTCCATCTTTCTTGTAGGCTCCCTTCAGGTACTGGAAGGCCACAATTAGGTCACCCCAAAGCCTTCTCTTCTCCAGGCTGAACAATCCCAACTGTCTCAGCCTTTCCTCATAGGAGGCATGCCCCATCCCTCTAATCATCTAAGTTCCTCCTCTGGACTTGCTCTAACAGGTCAATGTCCTTCTTGTACCAGGGACCCAGAGCTGGATGCAGTACTCCAGGTGAGGTCTCACCAAAGCAGAGCAGAGGGACAGAATAACCTCCCTCTCCCTGCTGGCCACTCTGCTTTTGATGCAGCCCAGTACACAACTGGCTTTCTGGGCTGCAAGTGCACACTGTTGGCTCATGTCCAGCCTCTCACCCACCAGCACCCCCAAGTCCTTCTCAGCAGAGATGCTCTCAATCCATTCATCTCCAGCCTATATTCATACCAGGGACTGCCCAGACCCAAGTGCAGCACCTTGCAGTTAGTCCTGTTAAACCTCATGACATTCCCAGGAGCTAACTTCTTGAGCTTGTCCAGGTTCCTCTGGATGGCATCCCATCCCTCAGGCATGTCAACCACACCACTCAGCTGGTGTTGTTGGCAAAATTGCTGAGGGGGCACCCGATCCCACTGTCCATGTCATTGTCAAAGCCAAGAAATAGCACTGGCCCCACTGCAGACCCTCAAGGATATCGGCCCAACACCAAGTCAAATTTTGAAATCAACTCTTCAGTTATCTTACTTCCTCACTTCCCATATGAAGATGTCACAGCCAGACTCAAGCTAATGTATCTTGAGTTAGTGACTGTGGTAATTTGAGTACCAGGAGAAAACATTTGTACCTTGCTATGTCCCCTCGATACAAGGACTTGTAGGTCCAGTTTGCAGGGTCTGGTTTCTTGTCTATTCTGAAGGTGTCTGCTGTGAAAGCCTGGACATCATCAAGCCAAACAGAGCGACTGCTGGTAAGATTAGATGTTTTCTTATCTAGGCTGCAGAAAAGGAGAAGGATATTCTAATCATTTGTGCACGTATTCAACATTTACAAAACCCAAGAAACATTCAATTTCTGTAGTCCATAATCATTTAATTTACTCAAAGTCACGGTACGCAATCCATTAGAGAATCACAGAATGTTTAAATTATTGCAAAGTCAGTCCCATACTTGGAAAAGAACAACTAGAAATGTGCTAATAGGATCATCAAACCAAAACACAAACACTCTGAACTGCCAAAAATTGAATTTACGATTATGAAAGGTAATAACTGGATTTAACCAATCAATCCAATCAATTGCTTGGCAAACTATAATCCAAAAGCCATATATTTCTATTTCTAAAATTTAGTTTTGTCTCAGCAAGATGCTACTACGAAGAAAAAGAGGACAATCTGTAAGAGGATTGTGCTGATTAGCTGTAATTATACCCACACATTTGATAAAACAGTGTGTGTCAGTGGTTTATGGGTTACAGTTAAACAAATGAACTTCAGTGGAATTTGCCACCTGCCTCTGAGCTGTAGACAACTATGAACTTTCAATATGAATTCATGTTGCAAATACCTGAGTTTTATAGTCTTGAGAAGTTTTCTAGAATTTCACAAGACCTTTCACATTGAAGCAATTTTGTGGTTCATGTTTCAAAACCAGTCCCTTGAAAATTCCATATTCTCTCAGTATCAATGATTTATGGAGAGAAGTAAAAATAGACACCATGAAACAACTTCAACACTTTAATTTGGGCAAAGCACTGTCTGGTTGGCCCAATCTAGCAAACAGCTGATGAACCAGGTCCAGACACCCTTCCAGCAAAGACGAGTGATGGGGCAGAGAACAGAATGGTTTTAGCATCCCAATGACTTTTACTGCCCTTCTTCACAGCCAAGTAGGCCTTAGCCACCACAACCCAGCAAGAGTTCCCATAAAGGAGCAGGGGAGTGTGGCTAGAGTTACCAGACAAGACCTGCAATACCACTGCTACTCTTCCATAGGGAAATGATGTCAGGAGCCCTTGGCACAGACACATGCCCACAATCCTGTGCTTTCAGCCCCTGGTTCAGCTGCTTTGAGAAAAGTAGTAAATTGGGGAAAATCAAAGACTACTTGGACTACACCCAGCTGTAACAATTCCTCAATGTCACCAAATCACAGAATATTCAGAATTGGAGGGGACCCACAAAGAGTCCAGCTCTTGGCCCTGCACAGGGCATCCCCAAGAATGACACCACGTGCCTGAAAGCATTGTCCAAATGCTTCTAGAACTGTCAGGCTTGGTGCTGCGACCACTTCCCTGGGGAACTGTCCCAGTGCCCAAATGCCCTCTGGGTGAATAATCTTTTTCTCATATCTAACCTAAACCTTCCCTGACACAACTGCAGGCCATTGCCTTGCGTCCTGTCACCGGTTGCCAGACAGAAGAGGCCAGTGCTTGCTCCACCACTTCCCCTCGTGAGGAAGCTGTATACAGCAATGAGATCTCCCCTCAGTCTCCTCCAGGCTGAACAGACCAAGTGGCCTTAGCCACTCCTTGTATGGCTCCCCCTCAAGGCCCTTCACCTCCTTCTCTAACCCCACGAGTAGCTGCAGTGTATGAATTAGAGCCAGAGCTGCTGATGCCAAAGAAAACACAGGAACTAGGCAATCAGAGAGAGGCAAAATGGCTGCTCAACCTAGTAAGCATGACGAGAACCAGGGAAAGGTGACTTGCAGAGCCAATTGGATAGAGCAACTTTGAAATGTTCAAAACCCAACAGACTGAGAAAAGCACCGCTACATGTGCCAAACCTGAACACTCACTGCATTCACAGAACCTCTTTCACTGCTCAAAGGTCATGACAGTCACTACATACCTATTTTCTTATCCCACAAAAAAATGACATCTCCACTAATTGCACAGTACTTAAGAGCTCTTGGAATTAACAAAGAAGCTCTAAGCAAAACGATTTCAATTGTTCAAATACCAATATAGATGTACTACAAGCAGGAAGCATGAAGCACTTGGATAGAACAATAAATGGCTGGATATAAAAGAAATGTTAAATCATACAACAAACTTTGCCTTCATATTAAAAAAAGGAAATGTTAACTCTGTGAGGGGGAAGTTATATTACAAGGCAAACACAGCTGTACATTAAGACTTCTGCACTAATTAAGAATGTTCCATGCAATCCCTCTCCAATCTCTCCCAAAAGGAGATCCATGAAAAGAAACAAGATGCTTACAAAAACTAAACATAAGCCTCTACACGTCTTAAAAAAATTGTTTCATTACCACTGTACCATGCTGTGATCTGCACAACAGTACTTCACTGAATATTTCAGTCACAGCTTTTCAATATGATTAAACAAGTAGTTCTAAATCTATTTTAATTGCTTTGAACGAAGGTTTAGTCACATACAGCTTAGAAAAAAAAAAAGATCAACCAGCAGTAAGAATTTCAGTTGAAGAGACAAGTACAAGAACACAGTGAATGCACATCTTGCATAATGTTAAATATATACATACTTTGCTGCTGCTTCCCTTTCACGATTTCTGCCACTTCCTTTGTCCTTGCTGTGCTTAGTGTCCACGTCTGATTCGCTGCTACTGGAGTCCCCTCTGGCTTTCTTTTTTGCCTTCTTATAGTGGTGATGATGCTTCTTTTTCTTTTTCCTTTTCTTACTTGCCTGTTTCAGACTCTCATCGGTATCACTCTCCCCTGACAACTCAGATCTTGAGGCAGTCCTGCTTGGAACCAAGTATATACATCTACATATACATCTAAGTAGTAACACTGTAAAGCAATACCCCTGTAAGAAAGTTCTGAGCCTTTTACCCTTTACCTTTATTCTCCTTGTATTTTTGGAGAAGTTAGCAGTAACACATACAATGAAAGTGATATAAATCTGCATTAAGTAACAACTATATTTTTCAGCTGCTAGAATTACTGACAAACAGTCTTAACATTTTCATTGTCAAGGCATTTTCATGCATGATCTGTACACATATCCATCTTAACATTGCCAAATTAGAGATGACCAAGCTGATAAAATTTCCTAACTTTGCTAAACAACTTAGGTCAAGCTAAAAGACTGAGAAATCTTTCAGGGTGATCTGCAAAAAAAGAAAATATTCACTTTTTTCTGTTTCTTAATTATCATATAAGAAATATCAAAACCATACTTTTAAAATCACTTCCAGATGGGAGATTCAAATCTCACCAACCAAGGAACAATTCTTTTATGACTAACAAATTAATGTTAAAATGTAATGCAATATAATATAATAACAAACACTACACTCAACAGACAACTGAGTTTTACTTCGAGATCACACAAAGGACACAGTTTTGGCAAAACACATGTATATCATTGTACATACACTTCCATATTTAATAATCAAAAGAATAATGGAGGTCTTCTCTAACCCTTAATTAAAGCATGAGCTCTTTTTAAACCTTTTTTCTGGAATCTTTCTATAAGAGAAAGGAGTGACAAGTCTCAGTATTCCCAATGTGCCAATAAAAGAAAATGTGGGGTTTCAGCAAGGTATCTCAAGTAACAGCCCATACACAATTTTTAAGGACAGTAAGAAAAAAGAAGCCATGCAAGAACCATTAGCAGGCCTTTAAACTAACACACACACACTCCTACAAACCATTCACCCTTCTGATTCTCTCCCCTCCATCCCACTGGTTGGGGAGTGAGTGGCTGCATGGGACTTGGCTGCTGCCTGGGGTTAAACCATGACAACATGTAATATTTCATTAATTCACATCTTCCAACTAGTTTTTGAAACATAAAAAACTTGACTGTGAAATGGCTGACTGATCTAGTATTCAAAGAGAAATCCTGAAGATGATACTTAACCTTTACATTATTTCAAGGGTCACTTAGGACATTCAAAAGCTAATGAAAAACCATGATCATTCAGTTCCCTTTCCATTCCAAAATAACAATGATTTAAATGTAGCTCTGAGAAAAAGAAAATGGGAATGTAATTGCATAAGTGTAATTTCTCATTATTTTAAGTTAAAGGACATGGAAGCATTATTCATACTTTAATACATGACTCAGTTCGGGCCTTTTTAAATCCTGAAAAGTGGAATCAAAAGCAGCTTTAGCTCCTGATTTTGGTCTCATACATAACAAAAGATAAGCAGGACAAAAGAAAAAGGCTATTTTAGAAGACTTTGAAGTACAGTCTACCTTAGTGGTGGTGATTTTTCAGGGATGAGATTGGCACCTTCTGCAGTGCGCTGGTGCAGGACTAGTGCATCTTCTGTCGAGAAGCTTGGGTTACTCAGCCAGTCCAATTCTGCAGGTAGAGAAAAGTGGGAGATCAATACAAATTAGCTTGCTGTGCTTTTTTAAGCTGGGGGTTAATCTAGTCAGCAGACAGCTAAAGACACAGTAAATGTCGCCAAGTCATGTGTAATAATTGAGCATATTGGAAAGCAGTGCATGAAACCTCCATTCAGTTCCCCCTGAAAGCTGACACTATGTTAAATACACAGCTTTATGCTTTCAAAAACCCAAATCTGCCCAATATCAATTTTTACCACATATATAAGATTGTACCATATATACATATATATATACACCATATATATATTTAACCATATATATAAGATTGTATATATATATATTATATATATATGAATCTTATATATATAAGATTTACCAAGTATATAAGATTGTATATTTATATACTGTATAAATTTATGTTATCTATGCATCATCAGATCTACTGTATCATAATATAGGCTAATTTTAATATACATTACTTTTAATATATTATATACAAAATGTAAATATTTACAGATTCAAAGAGTGAAATTGAAAAAATTACAGAAGGGCATAACTAAACAAAATGTATAGTTAATACAACTTATACAAACTAAAAGTGTACTTTACTCAAACTACAGAAAATATTCTTAACATGATTTTATTGATAGGGACACCCATTACTGATAAGAATACTCAAGTGTTCTACACAAGGTCAAAACGTGCCACTGGATTCTCAGTTCTCTAACCACTGGAATACCATTAGACTTTCCAATAGTGGGAAAAAAATGGCTATTTGATACTAATGTTGATATATTAGCCAGCATTAAGAATTCTGCATCTAGATCTCAGCCATGTCAGTCATCAGATCAGATACTGACAGGATGTGGAGGGGGAATTATTTGTCATAATTTTACTGACATTAAAAGTTCTATAACAATTCTCACAGAGATTTCATGCCTAGAATTCTTTTACATATGTGAAAATTTCTAACATAATAAGCAACAAAAGTTATTTTACTTAAGTATGGAATTTGACAGCAGCCTCTCCAGTGCCAGACCACTGGAGGCAACAACAAAAGGAACAAATTTGGCCTCCCTGCCTCTTCTCCATGCTCTTTACAACCATTTTTGCCTTGGTGTTCTTCCTGTCACATTCTTGTCTTTGTGCTCTTGGCTACCCTGACCTCTACTCTTTAAATAGCATGAACTCATTGTCTGCCAAGCCAAGCATCTCTCCTCCTTCTAAAGGATTTCTTTCAGAAAGAGTTCTTCATACCAAAACTTCTTCTTTTATCTCATGTACCTGAATTGTTGTCCACAAAAGGATTAAAAACAGATCAGGCTGCAAAAGAGTTTGTTAACCTAAGCTAAACTCCTCGAGAAGTACATGCAATACAGCATAGCTCCAGCTTGTGTTTCCCAAGAGACTGGTCCACTTATCAAAGGCCCCGTGGGGAGAGTGTCCTTCCCTGGCTTGAACCTCCACCTCTGTGCACAGCAGAGCCCACAGCTCATGGCACTGTCAGGACCAAAACACACCCAACCAATAGGCTGCAGAACACCACTGTGCACCATTTCCCTGCTCACCCAAACACAGGATGAAAATTAAAAATTCAGCTGTGTAATAAATATCCATATTACTGTGGCCTCCTGCCTGGCAACTGGAACAACCAAATCCAAGATAAATACACTACCCTACTTTGTTTTAAATCAACATGAGATTTTTTTTTCCCCTTCCAGGAAAATACTTAACATATATGAAGGCAAAATTAGAATAAAAATTGGAACCTTAGACCTGCAATCCTTACTTGCCTATTTCAAACATGATAAAATCTACTATTTAATTCCACTTAATCCACCCTGGCACAAATGCCTTCATTTTAAGGATATGTTTATGGTTTTAAAACTGTACATCTACAACAAAGCATTCTTCCAAAACCATGGTGAACTTAAAGGAGAAAGATTTGTGCTGGATAATATCGAAGCAACATTTCACTTGCCTAACAAAGTAATTATTCCCTCTGCTCCAGAATAGTGTCATGCAACAATAAGTTAATTTCTTATTTCAATCCTGTCAGAGATGCACTGAGAACTAACCTAAAATCAGAATTACTTCTTAGAAGTATTGCATTTAGTATTTTCCATGAAATACCAAAATGTTCCTCATGGACAAATCTCTAACCATTACACACTGAAAAACCACAGGGGTTAAATAAATTCATACACCTGAGAACTGCATAAGCAAATCAGAGCTGCTATTTCAGGTATGTCATGCAGTATATTAAGTGCTGCTTTACACGTGAGATTTGTGAAGTATTATTTATTAACATGGTGTTGATTTGAAAAACTATCTTCCTTACATTGAATTATTTCTGCTAACTTTGGTAATGAAGACAAGGTGTAAAGGAATTCAGGAGCAAACTGCAGTTCTACACTATTTTTTTCACTGGTCACACTCTGATCTTCATTAGACACAGTCAAATGCTGAGAAAGCACAATGCTCCAGACCACTCCAGATTTCAGTAAAGGCAACTCATCTGTACAAAAGCCTTTTATTTACTTACAGAAATAACAGAGACATTTAATTCCCTTTAAAAAATTCATCTTTGTTTGGATCTGCACTCTATTACCCAGATGGACCTAACCAAACAGGAAAATTTACTGGTTGGTAGATCTCTGGTGTAAAGGTGTATCCCATGACAGCATAAAACCATGACTTACCAGCTCCTTGGAGATCATTATTATTATCTGTTTCAAAGATATACAAACTTACCTAACTGATCTATGGCCAGATCTCCAATAACTTACTTTCAGGTAAAAAGATATTCTGTGTAGACTCTTGAGTTTTTCTTTTTAATAAAATACTTTTCCCTTTGTAACATGTATGCAATAAATAATTTATGAGTATTATTTTTGACAGAAATAAATTAATTTTAAGGTAGTTCTGTATTAAGGAAGAGAGAGAACTGAGGAAATTGGCTGGCAGCCATATGCATAGCAAGCATGCATGAATTCCATTTCCATAGAAAATCTGCCTTAAACATTGCAAAATAATGTCTACTATCAATATTAACTATTAGAGATGAACCTTCAAAATGTCATTTTGACTTAATTTTTCCAAAAGAATCTGTTATTCCCTTACAGATGTGAAGTCACTTGCAAACTTGGTGCAGTATGATTACAACAGTTAGCACAAGCAGAGTAAGTTTGGGGTCTTTTTTTTCATACTTTAAGTTATTGTTTCAAGGTCTCCAAGGAAAACTCACCTTGAAAAATGGAGTCATAAACACCAATCCCCTGCCTGTGTCTGTAGCTTGGTTCTACCTAAGCAGCTATGATCAAACTGCATCTTTAAAGCACTGAAGAATCACAGTGCAAGAACCAACCCCTGTCACACAGCCAATACACCTCTGTGGATACAGCAGGGAAATGTTCAGAATCCTCCAACTACAGTTTTTTTGCTGAACAATTTAATCAAACTGACCTAATACTTGGAAAGAACAGAACAATTTTTTCCATTATGCAACATGCAAGTCCAAACCACTTGTAAATAATCTCAAGTGAATCAGTTAGCTAGACACAAGCATTTCAAACATCACAGTGCATTCCAAACTTTCTAACACTCTCTTCATTTGTTTGGGGTTTTTATCTTGTGAAATGTCTAAAAGGTTTATCATTTTTGCAGACCAGATTTAGCATCTTAAACACAAAGCATAAAAAGATATAAAAGACTTATTTTGTGATAATATGCATCAGCTTGTTCCTGTTCTGCTCTACTTTCCTCATTTATGAGCACAATCACAGCAGCAATGCAATGACATTTTTATTTACAGTGCATGTCTACAGAAACAATTTGCAAGAGCTATGCAAAGCCTTTTGTTGCCTCTCAGAATCCTGAACCTCTGCTTTCAGCAAAAATCACTGCATTGTCTTACCTATAGCAGAGTTCAGACTGCAAACCATGGTGTGCATAATGCTTACCAATGTCAGCAGGGTTAATTATTACCACTGCTCTCTTCATGGCTACTGATAAACTTGCAATTGATCTTCTACCACAAACTAATTAAGCTTGATGACCTGATTGTAAGAAACCATATACAAAACTGCAGCACTCTAGAGGCTGCTGCAACTCAGCTGTCAGGCAGGATAGGAAGGCTAAGCAACACTTGTTTCAGGCAGCACTTGTACTTAGGAATGGTCTCAGAAGGTCTGTAAGAGCACGAGGCAGAGGTGGTTGGCAGAATGAAACGTGTTAAAATCAACATACTCTGGGATCACAGAATCATTAAAGTTAGAGGTGACCTCTAAGATCACCAAGTCCAACCATTAACCTGCCACTGCTGTAACCCCTAAACCATATCCTCCAGCATCAGATCCAGATGCCTCTTAAACACTTCCAGGCATGGTGACTCCACCACCTCCCTGGGCAACCTATTCCAGTGCCTGACCAACCTGACAGTGAAAGAACTTATCCTAACATCTAATCTGATGCTCTCCTGCCTCAGCTTATGGCTGTTCCCTCCAGTACCTGTATCATGATGGACTTTGGCTTCACATCAGCTCTGAGCAAAGAGAACCATCTACAGAGAGATACCAAAGTTGCCTGTCAAGTTCTCAGAAGCTGAACATGTGAAATTTGATATACGCCACCATAAATGTGGTTCTGAGTTAATACTTAATTTTTATAGCTTACACTAAAATGTCTTTGTCAGCAACAAAGTACAATATTGACTAAAACATAAACCAAATTAAGTTCAAGTTTTGTCAGTAATTCTCATACAAAAAAAGTTCCAGTATATCAAGACATAACAAGTAAAATTTGGACCCACAAGTCAATTCTACATCTTTTTCTGTATAATTTAATCTTCCACACAAGTGATCTGCAGTGACACAGACTACACTTAACAAACCTAAGGGCTGAATTTCCAGAGTTTTAAAATATAACCAAAGTCTTATTGCTAGGGAGTTTTACTGTACCTCCACCTGACAGAGCAGCTTTGCTATTCCCAGGAGCTGTAATTTGGGATCT